ACGCAACGACTGCGCTAACCACCGTGGGGTTAGTTTAGTTCCGATAATCATAATCTGTGATACTTCACCGCCTGACACCCCTAAGGGAGAGGAATATCTGCGAACAACAAAACGGATTCCAACCAAGTCGCGGGTGCATCGACCAAATCTTCACTCTGCGTCAAGTCCTCGAACTGCGTCACACATCGTCGGCCAACAATCGCAGTGTTCCTTGACCTAAAAAGGAGCATTCGATTCAGTTAACCGTGAAGCTCTTCTGGGGTCGCTGCTCCACAAAGGAATGCCGCGGAAGTATGCAAACCTATTGCGGTCGCTGTACCTGCATACTTCTAATAGCGTAAGGGTGGAGTAAGTAAATCGTTCGGAACCAGGAGCGATGTCCGTCAAGGGTGCCCTATTTCGCCATTCCTGTTCAATTTGGTCGTAGACGAGATACTGGAGAACACAATTAATGGTCTCCAAAACGGAGGTATTGAATGGGCAGCTAGAGAAAAGCTGTGCAGTTTAGAGTACGCTGATGACATCTTATGTCTGTTCGAATCTATGGAGGATGCGCAGTGCGCTCTTGACAGACTAGCAAGTTCTATATCTCCTTTCAGCATGCGCTTTGCACTTTCAAAGTGCAAAGTGATGCTACAAGACTGGGTGTCGTCTACCCCAGCGCTGATGCTTGATGATCAACAATTAGCTGTAGTGGAATGTCTCACCTACTTAGGTAGCTGCGTTTCAAATGACGGTAGCATAGTCAATGAAGTAACCGCCCGCATTTCCAAGACTCGAGCAGCTTACGCAGGACTAATACACCTTTGGTGCAGACGCGGTGTTTTGTCGAAACTGAAAGGTCGTGTATACTGCGCCAGTGTGGTCAGTTCTGCTCTATGGTTGCGAGACCCTTAATTTGCACGTGGAAGATATTTGTCGTCTAGAAGTGTTCGACTGCTGATGTTTACGTAATTTGGCACGCGTTTGATGGAGCGAGCTTGTAAACAACTCTGAGATGAGACGCCGCGTATTTGGTAATGATTCGATGGAGAATTCGTTGTCCCATCGAATTCAGATTAGTCGGCCTCGCTGGTTAAGACACGCATTGCGCATGTCCAGCTGTCGTCTTCCGCCCCGCTCATTATTCGCAGTTGCGGTTCGAGATTGGAAGAAACCGCGTGGAGGTAAACAGATGATATGAAAACGAGGCATGAAGAAACATACAGAGCGATTAGGTAGAATAAGTGTCTCCGCTCTTCCAGGTTGGGGTCCGAAAGATCCTGCAACTGGCTGGTTGGAGGCACTAAAGGATATGGCGACTAACCGACAGCAGTGGCATTCTTGTCAGGTCGTAGTGCTTGAAAAGGTATGTATGCACACTTAGATTGTGTGCTCTGTTTGTTGACCATAGAGGTTCACTTTCTTTGCCTCTCGCCAATTAGACCTAATCCCTCTCCATCTTGTGCTTTATCACTTGATTTATGTACATTGTGGGCTTGACAGTGATCAGTAAAGTTGGCTTCATTGTATCTCGCTCTACGATGATAATGATGTGGCAGTTGAG